GTATGGTTGCTATGTGCCGCCCCGGAATCGGTGAGGCTGGAAGGGAAGGAAGAGGGGCACACAGGTGATTCACTGCAGGGGGAGGGGTATCTAGCGCCGCCTTGGCCACACATTCATCCTCCCGGGCGCGGAAGTTGACGTCCTGGAAGATTAATGTATGTCAGCTTGTTGTGCACCAGAGGCAAATGGTTCGCCCCTTCCAACACCACCACCACCACCACCCTTACATTTTCGTTCACGTCTGCTATCCGCAGTTCCGCCTATGCACTGCAACGTGTTTTCGGTAAAGGTTGGAACACAGTCGCGTCTGTTTAATAGGGTCGATTACTGAACCAACTGAGGACTTAGTTTACACTGACTACGGTTTGCCATAGATGCTTGTTGGCATTCCCCACGGGTGAGGACGTGTGATGTGTGCATCTGGTTAAAATATCCCGCTTAAAATTAATTGGATGTCTTCAAAATGATCTGTAAAATTTTGCGCAACCAGCTACTGAGTGGGAAATGAGCGTCCCAAATTTCGGCTTTCGTATATTCCATATCAATTAGGCTTGTTTATGAGGGAGGGGTTGATTTGCAAAGCTAGGGGGACTGTGTTACTTTCAGAGGACATTAACCTGCAGATGGGTGTTCCTAGGAGAGCCAAACAGCTCGCTTGTCATTATGTACAGCAAAATGACTTCGCGCCTCTGTGTCACTAGATTTCCAGTAACTCGCAGGTGAACAGCCTGTCAGGCGTTAATAGAGTGTAAAAAAATAGCAGCGTGATCCGAAATGACACCATTCCCCAAGCTGGACTGAATCAAGTCTTTTTTATTTGCTCGAAAGGTTGCACATCCCAAATGAAATGTTTTAGATTTCAACACAACAGTTCGTCTTTCTCAGACCCTTGCCCGTCAGCAGTACCCGAGGAAGTTTGCTCTTCCTCAGCTAACTGTAACCCATTTACTGCGGTCTACAGATGAAGGCGACAGTCCTTCCATCGATCTCCAGAAGAGGCTTCGTTGGGTCGCTTCTTCCAAGGAGTAAAAAGGTTGACTGCGTTATAACGCGAACTTGGAGATGTGCTAGTGAAAGTAACATTTCGACCTGTTTTATTGTTAGGTATGTCAATGATGGTACGGATAGGGAGTTTTTAGTCCTCCAACAGAAAGCAAATAAACTGCTCTGCATTTTATCTTCAATATACTATTATAGGTAAGGTCGGCAGGCTTCCTAAGCCCTTGATTAATTTTGGTACAACAACACAGTGTCAAGGGTAAAATCCTAGAGTTATCCCTGTAGCTTGGGATTGCATTCTTTGCGGAACACTGCGTTTAAGTGCCTTTCACACTACATAAAGATTTCCTCGTGAAATTCGCTC